GAAGACCAACACTCTATTCTACAAAATTCCAAATGAAGAAGAGCAGCTTACTTCTTCATTTGTTTTCCCCTCCTTAAACTACACTTCAAATTTCTTCACAACCGCATTGTTCTTCTTAATTCCCACACCCCCAACTATTTTACTTAAAAATCCAGTTTTCAGTGTTACTCTCTTACTCTTCTTGTTCAAATTATGAATGCTGCTTTTAAAAATTTCATCTTTTTCTACTGCTGCTGCTTCTCTGTGTCTGGTTATGCTCTTAGCTCTGATGGCACAGCTCTACTTTCCCTTCTTAGGCACTGGGATACTGTACCCTCAGCTATTAACTCTTCTTGGAATGCTTCTGATGCCACTCCTTGTTCTTGGGTTGGTGTTGAATGTGATCGCAAACAATTTATCACTTCTTTGAACCTCTCTGGCTACGGAATCTCAGGCCAATTGGGGCCCGAAATTGGTCATTTGCAGCGCTTGCGTACCATTGATTTGGGCGTTAATGCTTTCTTTGGCTCCATTCCTTCGCAGCTGGGAAATTGCACTCTTCTTGATTACTTGGATCTGTCCTACAACGCCTTTACTGGACAAATCCCTCAGAATCTTGGAAATTTACAGAGTTTAACCTACATAAACTTGTTTTCAAATTCATTGACTGGTAATATTCCTGATTCCTTGTTTACTATCCCACACTTGGAGACCATCTTCTTTAATAGTAACAAGTTAAGTGGTCCCATTCCATCTAGCGTTGGTAACATGCCTCAGCTTTTGTCTCTCTGGCTTTATGATAATGAGTTATCAGGTCCTATTCCTTCCTCTATAGTAAACTGTACTAAATTGAAAGAGTTGTATTTGAATGATAACCGTTTAGTTGGTAGCCTGCCTGAGAATTTAGATAAGCTAGTACACCTTGTTTATTTGGATGTAAGCAATAATAGACTAGAAGGCACTATCCCTTTCTGTTCGGGTAACTGCAAATATCTTGACAATCTGATCTTGTCATACAACCATTTTAATGGAGGACTTCCACAAGGTTTGGGGAATTGTAGTAACCTAACAGTTCTTGCTGCTATCTCTTCTGGTTTAAGTGGCCCTATTCCTGCTTCTCTGGGCCAGCTCACAAAGTTGGAGAAGCTTTACCTTACTGACAACAATTTCTCTGGAAAAATACCACCCGAGCTGGGCGAGTGCCAAGCCTTGCTGGAATTACTTTTACCGGAAAACCAACTGGAAGGTGAAATTCCTAGTGAACTAGGGTCTCTCAGTCAGTTGCAGAATCTCTTTTTGTATTCCAACAATTTGAGTGGTGAAATTCCCCTTAGCATTTGGAAGATTCAAAGCCTTCAAAATGTTCTTGTCTACAGGAACAACCTGACCGGAGAGTTACCTCTTCAAATGACCGAGTTGGAACAGCTGAAGAACATATCCTTATTTGAAAATCGGTTTACTGGAGTTATACCTCAAGGTTTGGGGATTAACAGCAGTCTAACACTGCTGGATTTCACCAACAACAACTTTTCAGGTCCTGTTCCACCAAATCTTTGTTTTGGCAAGCAACTGAATAAGCTTATGTTAGGTTATAATCATCTTGAAGGTGGCGTTCCTTCTCAATTAGGAAAGTGTTCTACTTTGACGAGAGTAATTCTCAAAAAGAATAATCTCTCAGGTGCCATTCCAGATTTTGTTAAGAACACAAATCCTATTTTCTTGGATCTCAGTGAGAATGGCTTCAGTGGGAAAATACCCCCAAGTTTGGCAAATCTTGGCAATGTTACATCAATTGACTTATCAATGAATAAGCTCTCAGGGTTTATACCACCGGAGCTGGCAAACCTTGTCAACCTCCAGGGTTTGGATCTGTCTTACAATAGTTTGGAAGGTGTACTGCCACCTCAACTTTCAAACTGCCAGAGACTGTTGAAGCTTGACGTAAGTCATAATTTGTTGAGTGGCTCGATCCCGTCCACGTTTGGAAGCTTTAGAGAACTATCCGTTTTGGGTCTGAAGGAGAATGATCTTTCAGGAGGTATTCCAACCTCCTTGTTTGAACTCAAGAAGCTCTCCATGCTGCAGCTTGGTGGAAATGCACTCAGTGGGGGCATTCCTGCAGCAATTGCGACTGCATCAAGAGAAACACTGAGGTGGTTAAATCTGAGTAGTAACAGGTTGACAGGTGAACTTCCTGCCGAGCTAGGGAAATTTACTTTCCTGGAGGAGTTAGATATAGCTGGCAATAATCTTTCTGGAACTTTAAGAGTTCTTGATGGAATGAGTTCGTTGATTTTCGTCAATGTATCACACAACCTCTTTTCTGGTCCAGTGCCAGCAAATCTGATGAAGTTCCTAAACTCAACTCCTACCTCTTTCTCAGGAAACTTGGGACTTTGCCTGCGCTATGATCCAGAAGAAGGCTCAAGTTGCACCGAGAATAGCAATCTACGACCTTGTAATCTTCAATCAAGCAATGGAAGACACCTAAGTGGAGCAGAAACTGCACTGATTGCACTTGGGGTGCTGTTATTTACCATTTCCTTATTCCTAGTAATTGCTTACATGCTTCTGTGGCGCAAAAATTCTGGGAAAGAAGTTGCAATATTTGCTCAAGAAGGTGCTTCGTCCCTGCTTAATAAAGTATTGGAAGCTACAGAGAACCTAAATGATAAGTATGTCATTGGGAGGGGAGCACATGGAATTGTATATAAGGCCATCTTGGGTCCAGGGAAAGCGTATGCTGTGAAAAAGCTGGTGTTTGTTGGTATAAAGGATGGAAGCACAAGTATGGTTAGAGAAATTCAAACAATTGGAAAGGTTAGGCACCGTAATCTTGTCAAATTAGAAGACTTCTGGCTGAGAAAGGATTATGGACTGATTCTTTACAATTACATGGAGAACGGGAGTCTTCATGATATCCTCCATGAGACTAATCCACCCGTAACATTGGAATGGAGCGTTCGTTACCGTATTGCTCTTGGAACTGCTCAAGGGTTGTCATATCTCCACTTTGACTGTGATCCTGCCATCATGCATAGAGATATCAAGCCCATGAATATCTTGTTGGACTCTGATCTGGACCCTCACATATCAGATTTTGGCATTGCGAAGCTTCTGGATCAGTCTGCTGCAATTTCCCCCTCCAATACCCTCCAGGGTACAGTTGGATACATGGCTCCAGGTATTTTCCTAATTTTCATTTATTCTTATACAGCCTTTCAGTTTGTCCTCTCTTTAGAGACCTCGTTGTCTGTAGAAAATAATATATCTATGTCTTGTCTGTTTTGTCGACAGAGACTGCATTTGCAGCTGCAAAGAGCAAGGAGTCAGATGTTTATAGTTATGGTGTTGTCCTGTTGGAACTTATAACTCGAAAGAAGGCCTTGGATCCTTCACTTTATGGGGGTACAGATTTCGTGAGTTGGGTTAGGTCTGTTTGGGCAGAAGCTGAAGAAATTCAGAAGATTGTGGATCCAAGCATTTTGGATGAATTCATAGACTCAAATATCATGGAACAAGTAATTGAAGTGCTTTCACTGGCTCTTAGATGTACAGAGAAGGAAGTTAGCAAAAGACCCACAATGAGAGAGGTGGTCAAGCAATTAACAAGGTCCAGTTCGAGTATAAGAAGCAAGTACTAGCTATCAATCAGAGGCCACTCCATGTAACTTCTGATGTGTTCTAGGTACAATAGACTTCTGATTAACGTAGTCCTAATTTTGTAGCTCTCAAAATTTGATTTCTGAATCCTTGTTAGGTTCCGTCTCTTTGTATTGGTAGAGGATGGTAGAAATCTATTTACACTACTGCAGCTTGGGAAGAGAAGGCGTTTGCCTTGTAGCTGTAAATGTTTTTTCCATCATGTATGCATGGATGAAAACTAAATATAACTTACTGCTGTGACTGTTCATCTTAGCTAATCTTATTCTCAGGCAAAAAGCAATTCCTTTTGCAATTCTTAGCAGGATCTACTATGTTAAAGCCATATCCCTATTTACAAAATTTCCTTACCTTTATCTATAGGCTTCTATATATGATTGCTTCTCTTTTCTGGGCAAATCGGCTTACCATTGAATTGTGAACCAATCTTTCGGTTAGAAATGGGAAAAACTAACATAGTGAGACCGGATTTCATGGTAGTCCAAGGTTCATGTTGTCAAAGTTGGAAAACATATACAACAAGGTGAAAATGTCAAAGTGCTAATCTCGAGCTAGTTAAGACTATCAACTACCTAGTATTTTCCAAGTTCATTATTCAACAACGAGTTTGCAGTCCTACCGTGTAGGGTAAGATGCAGGACTCAGCAGTAGTTTATCGACGTTAACTTGTGTTTCCCAAGTGGTGCATTTTTGTGCATGACATTTGACTTCAGCAAGAGTTTATCGACGTTAACTTTTATATATCCCCTTGATGTGTTTATGTTGAGGAATGAAGTCTTGACAATAGGGTTAAAAGAAAAACAAAGAAGGGTAAAACAACTGCTTAAGACAGGAAGTTGTGACAGACAAATCCTAAATTGCTCAAGTTTAAACTATTGGGTCGAAACATGTCAAACAGAGTAACCCTACGGGTCTACATGCAACCCAAATCCAAATATCCAAAATTAAATATTGAGATTGAAAATTATGTAAATTGGAAGAATTTAAGCTAATAATTTAAGAAACATACATTAGTTTCACTTTTTTTTTTCAAAAATAAAAATAAAAAGGTGGGGAGGTTGGATCTTGTTGGGCAGGTTGAATTAAGGTCAGTTATTTGACTCATCTTGACCCCCTTATTAATTTGACCCTCCCAAGTTAATGCCTATATGCACCTCTATTTAACAAGTACAAAAGTTAGTTAAGTCATGAAAGAGTGACGATCCTGAGCTACAAATTGTAGAGGTCTAGCAACTTTCAGGAATAATACATAAGTTGGTCACACAAGTCCTTGCAGTTAGTGCCTATGAAGCGTATGGAGAAATGCAGCCATTTTAGTTGGTTTGATTCTTATCTGATGTCGAAAAAGATGAGGCAAGTAAAACGTTAACAAGTAAGAAATCAAAGAATTGCACAATTAGCTGGTAGTATGTACAGTGCAACTTTACAGTCAACTCAGTTATGCAGATGGAAGAATTACTCCTGAGTGTTGTACATCAGACATGTCTTCCAAATTCAAAGAATGAATTGTCGCAGTAGTGGCATCATGCAGCTCTTCTGGTGCAGAGGACACTATTTCATTGGAGTTGGAATGATTTCTTGGTAAATTTGGTGGTTGAACAGAATGGTCTGAAGAACTATTTGGACTAATTCCAGATTCTGGAAGTTTATCTTGGGGTTGTCCAGATGAGAGGTCTCTCTGATCGAAGTGTCTGCAAATTGCTACAACTTTTGACCAAATTGTGATTCTAGAATTTGATACTCTTCTGTGGAAATCTCTGTACTTGTACAAGTAGCTGGCTATAAAAATGAGGAGGCTTACTGCTGTAACTCCTCCTGTAATGGCAAAAAGGCCTTTGAAACTTTGCAACGAGATCGTGATTGAGTTCATATTGTCATCTGGTCCTGCGCAGGTTTGTTCATTTCTCAACCAATGTTGCTCCATTTCCAATATCTTCCCATTCTCTGTTAATTCTATGACTGCTCGAGACACATCAGCAACTAAAGGAGATCCTTTAGGGAAAACCTGTTTGATTTTAAATGCAGTAGCATGAGATAGTCATTTTCAGGGCAAACTAATCTTTACAAACAAGAACAGCGTGGATGGAGATGAAATGTCTTACAAAGGCAAAGCCGTCCGTGCGATAGGTAGGCCCAACTGTCATATATTTGTCGCAATGTTTGGATAGGAAGAGCTTGGAGTAGGGAATGACATCATAGTATGCTGATATGCCACCACTTTTACTTCCTCTAGACAAGGCTTCATCGCAGTCATATGGGGAAGTGAATGTCCTGATCCTGGAATCATCAAATCCCTTTTTTCTCAAGAAGTCCACTATGAATGAGCCTTCTTGGCACCCAACAAAATCTCTATTCTTGATTAGCTCGCTAACATCTGTGATTGCTGGTTGTAGTCTTTGTACGGTTAATCTTGATGATAAGCTTGCAGTGTAAGTGGAGTTCAGGATGAGTATGACGAACATCCATACCACTACAACCAGTCGAGCTAAATTGTTCACTATTCTTTCTCCTACAAACAGATCATACATATTTGTGAGTTCACGTGTTGTCCTGTACCCTATTATAGGAAAATCTTTAAAATAAAATCTGAGAGATTTATTTAGTACTCACGGTGTGCAAATACTAGTGTTGAGAAGGGAAAGTAGAAGATCATGCCAACATGTTGAGAAGGAGGACCTCGAAAGGCAGAGCTCACCCTATGTTCAAGTATCCAGACCGCCAGACCCGTAAGAAAGAAAAATGCTATACTTGTTAGCCAAAGTTCTTTCTTTAGGGGCTTTAGGAAAGCCCATATATCATTGACATCTTCGTACGTGATTGGCACGATGCTANTTTAGTACTCACGATGTGCAAATACTAGTGTTGAGAAGGGAAAGTAGAAGATCATGCCAACATGTTGAGAAGGAGGACCTCGAAAGGCAGAGCTCACCCTATGTTCAAGTATCCAGACCGCCAGACCCGTAAGAAAGAAAAATGCTATACTTGTTAGCCAAAGTTCTTTCTTTAGGGGCTTTAGGAAAGCCCATATATCATTGACATCTTCGTACGTGATTGGCACGATGCTAATAACTCCTCCTTCTGCAAATGGCAACGTGAAGTCCACGTATTTTGATCTGTTTGCTGTGATAGTTATATCTCCAATTGCAGCATCATAGTTCTGCATACATTGTATCATTACTGACTGAAGTTAGTAATTGTTCACTTACTGATTTTGCAGGAGAGGACGGAAAATAAAGTCTACCCAGCTTACCTGAAGAAACACTTGGTAAATAAGATCATTATAAGTCCCTGCACTAGAGCCATCAGGATTTTCAAAGGGAACAAGCTCATATGGCACAGAATATGGCAACGCTTCCATGACAGATTTGAACACGTCTATGTAGAATCCGCTGATAATGTGGGCATTGACCTGAGTGTCCTTTACTACTCTCACAAAATCCGTGAAACCAGCTTTCACTGGCACTCCAATTCTTAGCTTTTTACCAGACATTGGAACTTCCCATCCCTTGGGCACGACTGTTGAATCACCAGGCCATATGATACTCCTCATATTTTCCCTTGAGCTTGTATCATGAGTTGTGGTGTTCCAATTCAGTTCCCTCCTTATTCCAAGAGATGGATTCCATATTCCTACTTCCTTCTGTCCGTTCCCAAGCACATTAATTATCTGATAAGATGATGACTCCATCTTGCCATTTAAAAGGCGAAACTTCCCTGAAAGCCCCTCAAATTTGGTCTCTGATATTGCTTTTAGAAGTTTTGGGCCGACTTCTGAGTTCCCAAAATTGAAAAGGTTTGAAACATTGAGATTAACAGTTGAATTCTCTAAAGTTTTCGGTGGCTCTTTCAATCCAACTCTTTCTGCAGCCATAGCCAGTGCCCACAAAGTATCATATGCCCACAGGCAAAAAACGCTCAAATCTGCTCGTCCGATGCCAGGACTTTTCTCAAGGGACTTTTTCTTCAACCTATTAGAGAAAGACCGGAGCTGTTCAGATTTTGGTGTAAGAGGTTTCACACCTAATACCCCTTGCATTGCTTCAGCAACATCAGAATCCATCAAGTAGGCTAAATCCATTAGTCCACTGGTGATGATCCAGGCATAGCCCTTCTCCATCATTCCGATTTCTTTGGCTTTCAGAAAGAGTCTGGCGCCAAGTGTATGTGACATGTGGACCACAAACACCCTTGTTTGTAAAGTCATCATCTTGTATAGCTCTTTGAGTATAAATTCATCACTTGCCGAAACAGGAAAAACACTTTTATATGAAATGTGAGCATTCACATCTTGGAATGCATTAGATAAGTAGGGAACAATGCCACTACCATATTCTGAGTCTTCAAATATCATAACAACCTGACTCCACTGGAAGGTTTTAACTATGGCAGCAATGGCGCCAACTTGAGTGTCATCGCCTTGTGCAGCTTGAACAAAGTAAGGAGTTCGAGTATGAAGAGAAGGACTTGTTGCAGAAAAAGAAATTATGGGGACCTGAGCTCTGTCTCCAAGATCCATCAGAAAGTTGGCTTGAGCTGATTTCTGAGGACCTAAGATTGCATCTACCTTGATATCTTTCAGCAAATTGAGACCTGCAACAAGGCAAATAATGTTGATAAGTTCTCTTCAGTTCTAAGGTTTAGCAATCCGATGTAGGTGCTTAATATGCAATAGTGTTTACCAGCAGCAGCAGCTTCAATGGCTTGTCCTTGAGAGTCCCTAACATGAAGAGACAGCCTCGGCGAGTAGTTGCTGTGAATCAAATAGAAATCAGAGAGGGCAATGGACATGCAGCTTAGACACATACTTCCGACCACTGACTTCAAATCAAGAATCACTCCCACTTGGAAGTTAGAAGTGCGATTATGGACGCTCCTTTGTGAATTGCTGAAAGTGGAACACAACCAGAGTGAGGCACAGAATAGTAGGATCAGTTTCATCTCCTTCCAATACCTGAATTGGTAGGTCGAGACGTTTCAAACTACTCCATATATCACAAATTATCAATCTTCTGTCTTCGGTATTTCGGGGGTGGGTTGTGTTAGTTGACTTGGTAAAAGTCCAAGCTTGCTTTCAATATTCTAATGTGAAGATACCTTACAGTTGATTCTTTTCTTTTTAAAATGTATTATATAATGCAGTTGCTTCAAATTGGCGTTATCCTAAGTGACATTGTACCTGATCAAAGATAAGTACTATACTTCTGTAAAATTAAATCATAGGAAAAGAAATATTTTAGAGACTCAGATAAAATAGGATCTTTTGAGCTCTTAACAGGCTAGTATACAACTGACGAAGAGGGTGTGAATTTTCTAGTTTAGAAATACGGAGAAGATTCAGAATAGGACCAGTATTTTGTTATTTTGTGCATTATTTCAATTCTTGAATCCTTGACTTGGTTTTGTAATTTTGATAATTTTTCTGGATTAGAGATCATTGACAGTGAAATACATAACTGAAGACTGATGAATTGAGTAGGAATCTGGACTTGTTGAGTAATGCAAACAACGGAGGAAACGACTGGGAAATTAGGCTTCAAAATTGACCCCCCAATTAAAAGTTAAATGACTAACTACTTGAACTAAATTTATAATGTAGAAGTACAGGTACAACACACACACGTTCATTTCAACATCAAAGAGGCACCTACTAATATTATTAGTAATTAGTAGACAATCACAATGTTAATGCACTCAGGTTTTATAACAAACTAAGGAGTAAAAATATTCAGTCTGGAACAGTTGAGAGAAGTTAGCAGCTTACGATGGAGCATGTGCTGAAAAATCCTCCCTCACAACCACCAATTTTGCAATCGCTTTCTTCTTTAAATGAATTTGAAGTTTGACTCTACTTTCTCGTATATATGGATTCTGGATTTTATATGGGGGGTATAAAATGAGAAAAGTCTACTAATTTGACATGCAAGGCAAGCCACCTATTTCAATAGGCACGTCTCTCTCAAATCCAACTCATTGAGCTTTGTCGCGTAAAATTAAAACTTGCACGTACTAGCATGATACGAGAGAAATCAGATTTTAATTTCCAGGCATAGACCACCGAGTCATGCAATACATAATTTTATAAAATAATATTAATATTATCAAAATAAAACTTTTACTAAAAAATTATACATAAAAGAATAATGTACAAATTTCTTTGAATGACCAATGCGGATCATCGTGTGGTGACTCATTTGTCGATGTCAATATGATTGGATTTTGTTTGAACTTACAAAGATGAACAATAAGAAATTAATTAGATACGTATGTATCTTGGGAATACTCTATAAGAGACTAATAAGAATTTAATTTTCTCAACGCGGCTCCCATTTGAATTCATATACTAGTTCTTGCAAATCACACCTTAACTCTCCCATCTAACTCAAATTCTTGAAACACACAAAAATTTGGAAGGCGTAATGTCGAAGCACATAGCACGAACATCAAAGCACGAACATCAACGGCGGGGTGATTCAATTTTTCACCAAGATATGATATCAGAAATACTCTTGCGCCTACCTGTAAAAGCATTGATGAGGATGAAGTGTGTTTCTGAATCTTGGTGTTCCCTCATCTCAAGTCCTCAATTTGTAAAAAGCCATCTCAAATTTTCAAACAAGAAGCTAGAATCTCCTAATGATGATCTTCTTTTCAAGAACCATGATGATGAAAAGGGCTAGACTTTCTACAACAGGGGAGCTAGTAGAGCCTTTGAGGCCCTCTAAATTTTGGGGCCCTAAAAATATTTTTAATTTTTAATTTTCTTACTTATTTTTGCTTAGACATTATTGAAACTTATAGAAAAAAGAATAAAAGTACAAAATCCTTATAAAAGTAAAAAGAAAGACTATCTATTTAATAATAACTAGTCTTTCGGCACATACATTACACGTGTATACCGAGTCATGCAATACACAATTTTATATAATAATATTAATATTATCAAAATAAAACTTTTACTAAAAGATTGTAACGACCCGACCGGTCGTTTTGAGCTCTAGCGCGTCGTTCGGCGATTTGAGGCCTTGAGTAGCTTCACTTCATGTTTTAGGACTTGTACGTGTGATCGGAATTGAATTTCGGAAGATCAGAGTCGTTTCGGAAGGAAAATTCTCAATTCGGAAGCTTTAAGTTGGGAGAGTTGACCAAGTGTTTGACTTTTGAGTAAATGACCTCGGATTCGGGATTTGAAGATTTCAATAGGTTCGTATGATGATTTTGGACTTGGACGTATATTCGAGTTGGGTATCGGGTCGCCCAGGAGTATTTCGATGCTAATTATGGAAGATTGGCATTTTGAAAGTTTATGGATTTCTTAAGTTTGATTTGAAGTGAATTTTTATATTATCGATACCCGTTTGGAGTTTCGAGCATTGGAATAGGTTCGTATCGTGATTTATGACTTGTGCGTAAAGTTTGGCGTCATTCCAGAATGTTTAAGTATGATTCGGACGCGCTCGGCGAAGTTTGAAAGTTTAAAGAAAGGTTTCGATCGTCGATTCATAATTTTGATGTTGTTTGACGTGATTTGAGGCTTCGACTAAGTTCGTATCGTGTTTTAGAACTGGTTGGTATGTTTGGTTGAGGTTCCGGGTAGGGCTGCTTATCGGGCGGATTGGGCGGTTATTTGCTCTTAACGGTTTGGCTTATCGGTTATCGGCTTTTAAATATATTAATCCGCTAGCCACCCGATAAGATATCGGGCGGATTGGTATCAGTTTAGCTCTTATCGGGCGGTTATCGGACGGTTTATCGGATTGTTTGCTGACTGCTTTGACTCAAAATAAAATTTCTATGCTTAGCAGACTACATTCCAGTCTATAGAATATGGCACCTAAGAAGAGAGCTAAATAGAAGAAATATAGAGCTACATTCCAACTTATTTTCCAGTAGAATCATCTCTGGGGATGAGCCTATTAACAACTTATAACTATTAGAAGAAATAGAAGAGAATACCGGGTATAACACATGACATCAAAATTATCTAATAGTAACGAACTGGAATAGTAAATTATAACTAAATGTCTAATAGTAAATTAGTAATAGATAGAGTACTAGTAGTGGAAGAAGGATTTTTGATATAT